TAACCTCCCGAAGGAGACTTCGCCCTTCGGCGTAGCCTCCTTCGGGTTCCTCTCCGTCCGGAGACAGAGAGTTGAACCGTGCAGTCGCTCAGAAAGTGAGCTAGACTGACTGAGATATTCAGTCACCCACCCACGAGGGTGTCATGCGGCACAAGGCCTTTTTTAATGTGGGCATTCCCGAGCCATTAGGCTCAGCCAAAAATAGCCCATTTGAACCCGTATAAACGGGTTCAGGGCCGAGTTAACCTCCCGAAGGAGACTTCGCCCTTCGGCGTAGCCTCCTTCGGGTTCCTCTCCGTCCGGAGACAGAGAGTTGAACCGTGCAGTCGCTCAAAAAGTGAGCTGGACTGACTGAGATATTCAGCCACCCACCCACGAGGGTGTCATGCGGCACAAGGCCTTTTTTAATGTGGGCATTCCCGAGCCATTAGGCTCCCGAGCCATTAGGGCAGCCAAAAAACCCATTTGAACCTGTATAAAAAATAGCCCATTTGAACCCGTATAAACGGGTTCAAAAGGGGCCCGAGATATTAACCTCCCGAAGGAGACTTCGCCTTCGGCGTAGCCTCCTTCGGGTTCCGGGTTCTCCGTCCGGAGACAGAGAGTTGAACCGTGCAGTCGCTCAAAAGTGAGCTGGACTGACTGAGATATTCAGTCACCCACCCACGAGGGTGTCATGCGGCACAAGGCCTTTTTAATGTGGGCATTCCCGAGCCATTAGGCTCAGCCAAAAAATAGCCCATTTGAACCCGTATAAACGGGTTCAGGGCCAATTTAACCTCCCCGAAGGAGACTTCGCCCTTCGGCGTAGCCTCCTTCGGGTTCCTCTCCGTCCGGAGACAGAGAGTTGAACCGTGCAGTCGCTCAAAAAGTGAGCTGGACTGACGATATTCAGTCACCCCCCCACGAGGGTGTCATGTGGCACAAGGCCTTTTTAACGTGGGCATTCCCGAGCCATTAGGCTCGGCCAAAAAATAGCCCATTTGAACCCGTATAAACGGGTTCAGGGCCGATTTAACCTCCCGAAGGAGACTTCGCCCTTCGGCGTAGCCTCCTTCGGGTTCCCTCCGTCCGGAGACAGAGAGTTGAACCGTGCAGTCGCTCAAAAAAGTGAGCTGGACTGACTGACTGACTGGGGTTGTCTTTTCTCCTTTTTATAACCTTTTGGGTTTTCGAAAGTGGCTCAAGATATTTTGGCGCAATTCTTGCTTTTGGGAGGCGATCTACCAATAGAATTGCTTGATTCGATTCTTTGCATTTTTATTGGTTGAGCGTTATCTGCGCGTAGGCGTATAATATGGATTATGCTTTTTTTTTAAGGTTGGAGAAGGTTAGAAAATTAGAAGAGTCCACAATACCTCCCCAGATTAATGCCTTGGTGAATGAGCATTAATATGTAATGTAGGTTCGGTACTTGGTTGGCCAGTGAACATTCCTTCCTGATTTTGTACGGGTAGACTGTGTTGATTCGGTCGTATCAGTAGTTGTTTGCGTTTCTGTTTGTTCTGTTGTCGTCGGTTTCGTTATTGTTCGATCTGTGTCGTCGGATTGCAGATATGCTGGTTTGAGACGGTCTATACTGACGGTGTTCTGTTTACCGGCGATATCAATTATGAAGAATTTGGGTGTTTTAGATATTACCAGGTGTGGACCTGTGTGGTTGGGCGTTAATGGTTTCCGTACAGTGTCGCGCCTCAAGAAAACATATTCTGCTGAATGTAGATCTGCTGGCACGTAGAAAGGTTTTTATACGCTCTCGTGGGTGTATATATAACGTCCATCATCTTTTTTTAGGTCTGCCACAAAGTAATTCGTTGGTGTAGATGTCGTCTCGTTGTGAAATATCTGTCCAGGCAGCGTTGTTGCTTTCCCAAAAACTAATTCTGCACTGGTGCATTTGAGATCCAGTTTTATTGTATTTCGCAGCGCAAGCATCACAAATGGTAGCTTATCTACCCACGTACGAGCACTGGTAGACGCTGTTAATGCGTACTTGAGCTGTCTATGGAATCTCTCCACTATTCCGTTGCTGCATGGGTGGTATGCGGTGGTAGAGATGTGTTTTATGCCTAAAATGTTGACAAATTCGTTGAATAGCGTTGATTGAAATTGGGGACCTCTGTCAGTTGTGATAACTGCAGGGCATCCAAATATAGAAATCCAGTTGTTGAAAATTGCGTTAGCCACTGTTTCTGCCGTTATTGATGTTAGTGGTATCGCAACTGGCCATCGCGTAAAGCGGTCAATGATCGTTAGAATGTACTCGTGTCCATTAATCTTTTCGAGTGGACCGACTAAGTCTGCGTGTATGTGCGTAAATCGTCCATCGGGTGTCGCGAAGGTCGACGATGGTGCTTTGGTATGTCGGTGTATTTTCGTTGCCTGGCAACGTTGGCACGTGCGAGACCACTGTTTCACGTCCGAAGACATACCGGGCCAGACGTATCTGTCAGCTATGGTCCGCAGCGTAGCCTTCGCTCCAGGGTGAGCTGGCGAATGGAAATGATCGAAAATTGATTTTCTTCGTGACAAAGGTAAGTACGGTCGAGGATTACCTGTGGAAACGTCACAATACACGAGTTCATTAGTAAAGGGTAAAGGTCTTTTTTTCAATTTGAAGTGAGGTATCTTTTTGTACAGACGGTAATTCGTTGTCGTTTGCTTGTTCCTCAGCGAGAGTGTCAAAGTTTAGTGGTTGTGATTGTAGTGCGTTGAGCGTAGTTCTGGACAATGCGTCCGCTACTGTGTTATTCTGACCTTTTACGTATCGGATATCTGCTGTGTACTGGCTGATGTAATCTAAATGTCTTAGGTCTCGTGGATTTAATTTGTCAGCCTTTGCATGTAATGCATATGTAAGTGGTTTATGGTCGGTGAAGACTACGAAATTTCTTCCTTCTAGAATGTGTCTAAAATGTCGTATTGCTAGGTATACTGCCAATAATTCTCTTGAGAACGTACTATATTTCCTCTGGGTAGTGTTTAACTTTATCGAGAAAAAATGATAGTGGTTTCTCTACATTGTTAGTAATCTGGTGTAGTACTGCTCCAATTGTGTCAGCCGATGCATCTGTCGTGAGTGTTAGTTTGGAATTTTCGGATGGATTAATATACGACAATTTTGTACATTTTTGCAACGCGTCTTTTGCATCGTTAAAAGATTTTAATTCGTCTTTCGATAGTACGATTTGCGAGTTCTTTTTCTTTCGTTGCGATAGCATGTCTGTTAATGGCAATATTATAGTTGCACAGTTCGGTATGAATTGTCGGTAGTAGTTTATCATTCCTAAGAATCTCCGTAATTGCTTCATTGTGGAAGGTGTGGGATAATTTGTTATTGCTTTGATCTTGTGATCCAAGGGAGACAATCCTTGTTGGTCTATTACATGTCCAAGAAAGGTTAGCTGTGGTACCGCAAATATACATTTGTCAATGTTTAATTTTAAACCATAATGTTGTAAACGTTTTAGAACTGCATGCAAATGTTCCTTGTGTTCAACATGTGATTTACTTGCAATTAAAACATCGTCAATATACGCGTATGTGTACGGCATACCACGTAACACCTCGTCTATTAATCTTTGGAATGACTGTGCGGCGTTTCGTAAACCAAAGGGCATTCTTGTGAATTCAAATAGTCCGAATGGAGTGGTGATCGCAGTCTTTTTGTATGTCGTCTTCCTCGATTGGTATCTGATAGTAAGCCTTTTTTGAGGTCTAGTTTAGTGAAGACTGTAGCACCTTCTAATGATAGCGCAAAATCTTTTATGTGCGGGATAGGATATTTGTCCGGAATGGTCTGGGCGTTCAACAACCTATAATCTCCGCATGGACGCCAACTGACTGAATCTGCTTTTGTAACCATGTGTAGAGGGCTGGCATAAGGGCTTTTTGAAGGGCGTATTATTCCCAGTCTGAGCATATTGTCGAACTCATCTCTTGCGATTTTCAATTTGGCGGGATGAAGCCTACGTGGTTGGGGAATAAACTGGGGAACCAGTTGTTTTAATGCTGTGTTTAGCATGATGTCTAACGGGTTCATTTCGTGACGACGGTGTTAACAGTGTCTGATACTGACGTATTATCTCACCGTAGCCATTAGCTATTGGTATAATATTCGTCAGTCCAATCGTTGAATGTTTAGAGATGAAACCGCAGCGTTTTATATTTGTATTGGTGTCAGTTAGTGTTTGGGATGCTAGTTCTACTGACAATGCATAATGTGTTAGGAAGTCTGCTCCTAGTATGGGCATCGAAACATCAGCAATTATGAATGTCCACGTTAGATCTCTCCTTAGACCTATGTCTAAAGTCAGGGTCTTTTTCACCATAAGTAGCAATAGGCGTGCCATTCGCGGCTTGTAGTTTTAATGTTGTGTTTTTATTAGAAGTTGTTTGCTGCACTTCGTCTGTGGTATAACACTGATTTGGGCACCGGTGTCTACCAAAAGTTTAATCCGCTGGATTTATCGTAAATATAGAAGAGACGGTTAGTCTTGAGTTGCCTGGCATCCAACGTCTCTACTGGGTGCCAGGATGTCCGTTTCCTGCTGTTTGGCGGTTGGTGATTTCTTATACGCACATGGTTGTCTGCACTTGTTAGCTTGCGCGCCAAAAGTTTCATGATACCAACATTTTCATTTTGGTATTCGTTTCGTTGTCGTTTGTATCTGTGTCGAGAATTTGATCTCCAGCGTTGTTTATTTCGCTTGGTATATTGATTATCATGTCGGCTTAGATGAGCATTTTGTAGTTCGCGCAGCTGTATAGATATATCTTGCAACTCTGTTGATAACTTTTGAATTTGCCGGTCTATGTCTGGCATGAGGCCATCTCGTGTGTACGTTGCGGATATGTGTTTAATTGGCGCTGTGTCTGTTATTTTGTCTGCAATTATCGCTAGTTTCTGGATGTCTACATCTTCTGCTAATGCGGCTAGAATTCGTACAACCTCTGGCGGTAGCTTGATCAGCCACATTTGTTTGAATACTGTGGTCGATATGTCATTTTCGCCTAATAACTGCTGCATCCTTCGAAGTAACTGTGAAGGTTTGGCATCTTCGGTTGTTGCATTGGACAGGAGTTCACGTATTCTTTTCTCCTCCGAAAAACCTGATCTATGCAATATCGCTTCTTTTAGGATTTCGTATGGTTTTTCAACTGGGACTGAAGTTAGTATATCAGCTACTTCGGCTGCTATTTCTGCCGGTAGCTTCTCCACGACTGCTGCAAATTTTGACTGCTGAGAAGTTATGCGCCTAGCTTGGAATATCGCATCAAGCTGAAGGAACCACGTTTGCACATTTGCATTGAAGGCGGGCATCTCGAGTTTGATGGCTGTTTCTGATACGGTTGTTGGTTCTGCCATCTGTAGTGTTGAAATACTTTATCCGTTACCGGGGTTACCAATCTTTGTTACGCACGTCTGTTTATCAATTTTGTTGGTGTTGTTTGCTTGAAACGTCGAGGTTACCAATTTTGTTGGTCTGAAGTACGTCAACAAGTTCGTCACTCTTGTTGCATGTTCACTCACGTCGGAAGGTCACCAAATTTTGTTGGGACTTTTGGTTCATTTAATTAATCAGAAGGATTTTGTTCGGATCGGTTGTGTGTCTAAACCTTGTCCCAAACAAATATATAACAAACATGAGATTTCAAACAAAGTAAAAACGAGACATTTATAGATCGAAACAAATAAAACATTTATATACAATTACATATTTACAAACAAGGTTAATATTTGTATTGTTGCGTGCATTAATTGTATATGTTGCTGAAATGTTGGATGTCTCTGTGTCGTTATGTTTGTTATTTTGTGTTTGTGTTGAAATATATAATAAGAGTTTTTGGTAAAGTTTGCTAAAGTAGTCTACCTTTGAACGTGTCTGTGTTTGTTTTCGTGATTCGTATTTCTTATTTTTAGTAATGAATAAATCAATGTGCATAAGAAATATTGTTCAAAGTTTCGATAGTTGTTCGTTGGGTGTTTCAGGTGAGTCAGTTGAAGTTCGTCAAAAATGCGCGGTAAAATTCTGTTTTTGAATGTCGTGGATTAATTAGGCAATCGATCGGCGTGGGGTTGTCTTTTCTCCTTTTTATAACCTTTTGGGTTTTCGAAAGTGGCTCAAGATATTTTGGCGCAATTCTTGCTTTGGGAGGCGATCTACCAATAGAATTGCTTGATTCGATTCTTTGCATTTTTATTGGTTGAGCGTTATCTGCGCGTAGGCGTATAATATGGATTATGCTTTTTTTAAGGTTGGAGAAGGTTAGAAAATTAGAAGAGTCCACATACTATTTTTTTTTTTTTTGTGGTTCCCCCAGCTGACTACTCTTTGTTATCATGAGGGTACCCACCACCATTGACTAATAGCTGGAATTGGGGAGAGGACTAAAAAAACGAGTCATTTCCGATTATTTTATTTTTAAAGATCAGATACGCTGAAAACACCAAACGAAAAACAAATTATCTCTAAAAAGGGAGATGGGTGTAATCGTCGCAAAAACCAAAAAATAAAAATTGAAAAATATTTTTATTTATGATTTTATAAAGAAAAATCCCTGAAGATAAATTGTTAATCAATCTAAACATCCTGAATTGAAATTTTTTTGTTTTTTTTTTAACCTAAAAAATAAATCAATACAACAAAAAATATTTTTTTGTGTGTTTAGTTCGTACTTGCATAATTTAATAAAACGTTTTCCTTCATATTTGTTGACAAATGGAAAAAAAAATCTACAAAGAATATTTTTTTTAAATTTACTTGTAATATTCAGTACGATTTTGAATAAGTCTGGTTGTTATGAAAAATATTTTTTTTTACTAAATAATGCATTTGAAAAAAAAAAAAAAAAAAAGAGTAAAGTTTTGTCCGATATTTTTCTTTTAAACGAATCTTTGAAGAGATATTTGATTAAGTATTTTTTTTTTTTTTTGAATATCAGACTGTCTGTCATTTTTAATTAAAATGGGGCATGGATAAATTGGCCGTGACACCTCTTTAAAAATGACTTAAGAAAAGAAAAAAGATGTTTAAGTTTAAGTTATTAGCTTTAGGCTATTATCTTTCAAATAAACTCAAAATGTTGCTATGTAAAAAGAAAACCTTTAATGCTTTCCTTCCAAAGAAAAGAGTACTGAACTGCTACGTGGCATCTGTCCTGTATGGCAGCGAATGTTGGACGGTCTCCTCAATGATGAAGAAGAGACTCTAGGCAACGGAGATATGGTTCTACAGATGGATGCCAAGAACATCATGAAGCGAACGTATGAGCAACGATGAGGTCTTGGATACAAACAAGGAGGAAACATACTTAACATATAAGGAAGTGGTTTGGTTTGGTTTATTTTGTTTAACAGCATATCAACCTCAATGGGTTATTTAATGCCGACAACATTTTCTTATTGCTTGTAATTTTGTTTTGTCAAAATCTGTTTCTGGTAATTATATTTCCTTCAAAATTGTATTGCTGGTAATAATTTTTCCAAAAAAAGGATTGCTGGTAATAGTTAACTATTTGCCTATAGCTGGGACCCTAACAGGTGCTACCACCCCGGGTTAGGATGGACCTGGGAACACCAGCATTTAAGAGGTGGTTCCACGCTCCACAAAACCTCCTGATCAGAGGCCTTGCTGCTGGACGTAGTTTAACGTCTTACCCAGGACAGTCTGCCTATAAGGAAGAGGCATATGAAATTTCTGGGAAATGTAATGAGAAAGGAGGGCCTAGAGAATCTGATAGTCACATTCGAATAAATGGGAAAAGAGACAAGGGAAAGCAACGCGTGAAATACCTGACGGGCTTAAGCAAGTGGATGGCAGAACGTGGTCTGGGGGAGTTGGCCGGGGTACGAAACTTATTGAGAGCCCCAAGGGATAGGAGGAAGTGGAAAGCCATGATCGCCAACGTCCCGAAGGGATACACCACATAAAAAGAAAAGGGTGGAGGTAGCCCAAATTTTGACGTCGTCAAAAAATATATGGCGCGTCGCATCTACAGAGTAGCGGTTTATTTCCAGTTTTGTAAGCGGGCAACAGTGACATGCAGAGGCTTGGTGGTGCAAGGGGCCAACTCCTTCATTGTTGCCCCTAAAACTCACGTAGAGGAGTCGGGGTGCTTAGTACTAAGAAATGTGAGAAAGGCAGACATTTTAAATATGTAACTTAAAAATAGATGAAACCTGAAATAAACAGTTTATTCAAATTTTTTAAAACTAAATTTTTATTTCACTCTTTGATTGGATGTCCTCCCAATATGGATGCACGGGACCGTCACGCACTGTTCCCGCTGCCTTCTGCTCGCTACAATAAGTTTTTTTTTTTTTTGTTTTCGATTTTACCAAAACAATTGATAATTACAATGACGTAACTGCACATGCGCACGAAGAGGAGGAGACGCTGAAATTTTAAATTTTGAAATTAGATTATTTTTTATTTAATGTGTTTATAGAGTCGAGCCAATTTCGTTTAGTTCCTTTTAATTACATTTTTTTTTTTTTTTGTTATTACATGTACTCATGTACAGAAACAGCTCAAGAAAAGAAAGTTATACTTAAAAAAATAGACAATCACGTGGTTTGGTTCAGATTAAAAAGACGGTTCGCGCGGGCAAAGAAATTTCTCTTGTTCACGTGTCAGTGCTTGCCGCTACCACATCCTACGATAAAAATTAAATTTACATTTATAAATATGGCTTAAGAAGACCAACAAATGAGGATGGAAAGGGCTGGTCATCACTCTCTAAACTTAACTAGTCACAATTACTGATCCAATCAAACATTTTTTCTGAAATCAAAACTTAGCGTTTACGCTTCTCCGTCGTACAACAACAGACGCCATGGCATAATGCCACAATATCTTTGAAGTCCGAACTAACCCGATATGTACACTTTTATAAGGTGTTGCGATTTTTAAAAAGAGACAAAATTTTCCCAGTTAATACTTACAATGAACAAAAAAATACAGATATATTTGCAAAAACAAAACTAAAGAAAAATAAAAACATTGTTAGTATTAAAAAAAAACCCTTACGATACTAAATGTGGCAGAAGTAAGTTTACGACTGAAAACAAGATTGAATAGTAAATGCATCACTCAGTTAAAGAAACACTCACCCAACAAGACACGCATTCAAACACGGCGTAAAACAAAGACGAAAGGCCCGCAAGAGAACTGTGACGGAAGAGATGTAGTGATTTTCCAAGCGTAGCTTGAATGTGGCACAAGGCCGAATGTAAGGGGCACCCAGTGAGGATTGAACTCACTACTCTGCCGTAATTGTTCCAGCGAGACAAGCTTGCTAACCATTACGCCACCTCGAGGTGCCCAAGAGAACTGTGACGGAAGAGATTAGTGATTTTCCAAGCGTAGCTTAGATGTGGCACAAGGCCGAAATTAGGGGGCACCCAGTGAGGATCGAACTCACTACTCTGCCGTAATTGTTCTATCGAGCCAAGCTTGCTAACCATTATTACACCGTCTCGAGGTGCCCGAACTGTGACGGAAGAAACGAAGGAGTTTGTGCTCTTTCCATTTATACAACTTTACACAACGCCACCTTGCGGACGCTAACAGAAGTCCTCGGGCAGACAATGTGGGGGGGGATTTGACAAAGCATTTTATTTATGGATATTTATTTTAGTTCTTTTTTTTTTTAAGAAAGATATATTAAAATCTATTTTTAAATTATTTCCCAAACACTCATTTATTGAACCACCCCTTCGTATTTTTTTAGATTTCATTATTACCCACCGCTTATTTCATTTTCTGGCTCCGCCACCACCTATAACGACCCGCCGCCATTTTTAATTGACGACCCAGATTAACTGTGTTACAATAAGTTTCCAAAGTGCTATTTGTGGACATTTTACTAGTTTAGTTTCGAGTCTTCTTCTTCTTTTATGTGCCGTGTCCCTTCAGGACGTAGGCGATCATTCCCCCCCACTCCCTCCTGTCCCTTGTAGCTTTTAATAAGTCTTATCTTTTTGTTATTTCGCCCAAACCCTGTTCTGCCATCCATCTGCTCAAGACTACCAAGCTGCTTTCTTCTGTCCCTCTTTCCCACTATCTGTCTATGAGTATCAGATTTTCCAAGCCTTCCTTCCTTATTACATGCCCCAGAAATTTCAACTGCCTCTCCTTGATGTTCAGTATGTTTCCTCTTCGTTTTCATTCTCTCCAAAACCTCGTCGTTGCTCATATGTTCGGCTCATAGTACCCTCAGCATCTTTCTGTAGAATCAAATTTCTGTTGGTTCAAGTCTCTTCTTCATCTTTGAGGAGATTGTCCAGCATTCACTGCTGTAGAGGAGGACAGATGTCGCGTAACAGTTCAATACTCTTTTCTTTGTTTCTAATGAAATTTTGCTGTCTCTTGATACTCTGCTTAGCTTTTAGAATGTATCTTTGGCCAACCCAATATGTCTTCAGATCTCAGTGTCACACTTTCCGTCCTCTGTTAGAACACTTCCCAGATATTTAGTTTTCTGTACCTGCTTGATTTTAGTATCCCCAACCTTTAAGTTGCATTTTGGGCTCACCTTTTTGCTGATAACCGTGTATTCAGTATCTGTCTATATTTCTGAGATGAGGTATTATACACACTATTTACATTATTCGGACTAGTGTCCTCATCTTTGTCGCAATATTTATTACAACATTGATTTATATATTTTGGTATATTTTAAGTTTAACTTGTAATAATCTTTTGCTAGCTTAAACAGTCTGACAAAAATTTGGACTTGTTTGGTTGCATATGTCACCATATTTCTTTTGCAGAGTCGTTAAAAACCTACAGTAATTAAGGCAGTTAATTATCTGCTCGATTCTTTACTTGATAGTAGACATCGCAACTTAGTATAAAACTTAACAGAATATAATCTAAGGTTATTCCCAATTGTGTTCAAACCGAAATATATGCACTTAAGTCAACTCTACCAGATGTTTCTATTTTGATTTTATTTATTTACTGTTTCTCGCCTATTTTTCATCAAGTCGAGAATTTCATCTGTCATCCATTCTTTTTTGTTTTGTCTGTTTTTCTTTGGGATGGTCTATTAAAAGTTAGAAATTGTATGGGTGATATACGCGTGTGCATACGTGCGTACGTGTGTGATCCGTCAATAAAGGGAAAGATATCCCCACGCCTGGGACAGGGTCCAGGCTGATGTTGTTATACCGGAAGGAAAAAAGCAAGAAGACAAGAAGAGTCCATTTTTTTATAGCTGCTTAACAGCACCATATAACGGTGTCTTGGTGAAACCAAGTGCAGGTAACCAACAAAAATAAAATAGAGTCAACCATTATTCATCTTAGCCTTATTTCATACAATTTAATTCCAGTTGCTTTCTATCGCAATTACTCACCTTAATACACGGACGAAACAAATTAACTGAAAGAAATGAAAGGCAAATATGCATTATTCTCAAATACGTTTTATATACCGCTATGTTATAATTATATATAAATATATAAACACGTGTTACTAATTTGTCCCTCTCAGAGAATCGCTAACATACAAATAAAAAAGCAGAATGGAAATGCAAAAAGCGAGTGTGTCTTACTATGGGGAAAAAAAACAGCCAGGCCGGTAGGTATGTTCTACAAACTTCGGGGTACTCTGTGAGCTTTTTTGTTGTCCCTACTGCTGTGGGATTCAGATGACGTCTATCATCAGCAACTGTTGTGGGCAGACACGTCTGGATTCTACGTGTGCTAAATAGCAACTCGGTACTAGTTGGGGGGAGAAGGTGGGGCTAACAAGATCAGAGTTTTGTCACACCACCACCACGAGCTGACCTCACTTACCATCCGTCACGTGACCCTTGTAACTTCTTCTTAATCAAAGACAGATAACCACCCTTCCCAGCCCTACATGAGAATCCGATTTTTTTCTGAAGAAGAAGAAAAAAAAATTGTCTTAAGAGAAAGAATTGATAAATTTCAGCCGACGATAAGTAAATGCCGGACAGTAAATGTCGAGTGTTTTTCATCTCATCATTATCATCAGACTATTATCATTATACCGTCACTCTATCCGTATTAATTCTCATATTATCTTAAATATTTTATTAGGTAATAAATTGTCAACCGTTATGATTTTTCTGTTAGTATTTCTTTCATTATAATTTCTGTTTCAGCATAATTTTCTCCCACCATAACATTTTGATTTTTACATTAGTTGACGTTGTGGGGATTCAGTCACATCATAGCAGCAGAAATTAGCCTCGTGTTCACGGAGATAAAAGCACACTTGACAGGAAGTAAAACGTACAGAAATAACGGGGAAAGTATGGTAAATTGTATGTTAATTTCATACAGATTATTTATATTTTTGCGTGTATTGGTGTACGTATTACAATTGTTTTATAGTACGTGTGATAAAAAGGAGAAATTACTCCGTGTTAGTACACGCCATGTCACAGAGAGAAGTCGGATACGTGTTGCCCGTATCAAGGTTCGTGATGAAGAGATTGAATTTAACGTCTTTTGGCGAGATGTCCGTATTTCCGACAGGAACAGTTTTTGTTGCATGCTGGGAGCATTTTTATTATTTTTTTTATTTTATTTAATTTATTTTATAGTTTTATTTTATTTTATTTATAATTTTCATTATTATTATTATTATTATTCTATTTTTATTTATTTATAATAATAATGTCCCTACAAAGCTTTGTCGGCCATTAATGTTTGTCGTCTAGCATGACTTTCATTTTAATAGTCACCAATAAAATAATGGCCTTCCTTATTGCTTTCCCTCACCTTTGCTTTCATTTTCACTTCCTTATCTTTGCCCGCCATCTTTTACTTCTTTTTTTCCTTCATTAAATTTCCTAGTCGAAGAATTGAAGTTCAAAAAGTTAAAAATCAACAACTTTTTGTTTGTTGCTTTTTGACTGCTTAAGCAATTTCACCTCTAAGATTCCAAAAGGTTTCACATGACAAGATAAGGTTATCAATGACGCCCCAAGACTAATGAATTAACCTTCTGATACAAGAACATGTTTCAGTTTTGGGCAATCTCAGAACGGCTAAAAAGGGATCGTTGCTAGCGATAGGGTATCTTCTAATTGTTTCCGTCAGTTTATTTCCGCCTCGTCATTTCATGGTTTTCAGTTGAGACGTCAGTCAGCACTTATTTTCCAGCTACCTCATCCATCCGCCATTTTCTGTACTTTCTCTCACGCGTCTTTCGTTGCCATTATTATTTTCTTTTTAGCTTTTACGCCAAATTATTGATAACAGTTTTCCTCTACCTTTTCTTGTTTTTTCACTCCCATCTTTTTCTTTCTTCTCTTCTTCGCCATCTTTCATCAATAGTTATACTCCTCACCGCGTCTCTCTTTCCATTTCCCCCTTCCCCTCTATCCCGTCCCTGTATCTCTTTCTCGTTTACATTTTCTTTATTTGTGCTTTTCTTTTATCTCCACCTTTCTTCTTCTTCTTCTTCTTCTTCTTCTTCTTCTTCTTCTTCTTCTTCTTTGTCCACACTCATATAGCGACGTAAACAGATACGCTTTTTATCGGAGCCTTAGTTTTACTTATCAGAATGACCAGCTTTTGTCCAGTGGTTCAAACTCTTGGTGGCACTCTAGTTAATCCAGCTCAGCCTTCAAGTCTATGGAGAAAAAAAAATGATTATTGTATCCTTTGTCGTTATTGACGCGCGAGGTTATTTTTTTAATTTAAAAAATAGTTATAATTCTTGAAACACTTACAGTATATATTTGAATGTTTGAAATGAATTGCTTTTACTTATTCTAAGAAAAACTAATTAAAATATTTTCATAGTGGTATAATTTTTCAAATTATACCGCATATTTATGGTAACACGACGCTTGCTCGCTTCGATTGGCGTTGAGGCTCTTGTTACAATAACACCAAATATTAGTCAGACTAGGTTGTAAATAATTATCTGGCAGTGGGTAAGTCTATCGTTATGAACAAAGGAATAAATATAAATAATATATATGCTCGCGTATAAGCCGACTTCATGTGCTACACCTGATTCTTTTTGTGAAAAACATGTTGGTTTTTCATATAGCGAGTGTATAAGGCGACCCTAGCTTCTGAGTAACACCAGTAGGCCTACAGTAGTCAAATACTGCAGTACTGGGCATCATCCTGGACATTTTTTTATAGCCAATAAATGGTCCCCATTCTTTTTTGTACAAAGCTACCACTAATTTGAGAAAAAAAACAAACATTTATCGTAAAATATCTGATACGATGATTTAGATTCCGTACTTTTGTTTTCGTTCATGCCTGACTACGGTAGCTCCTTTACCTTGGGCCTGCCTCTTACATAGCCTAGGTTTCTTCCATTTTGTCGCAACACGAAGAGCAAAACTTCATTCACTAGGTATGCCACTTGAAAATCAAGAAATACCTTATATAAATGAAGAATTAAAAGATTTTTTTCCTAGCTCAGACTTCGTTTCGCAAGTGTTTACATCGCTGAGGCATTGCCTTTCCAATGACAAACTTTATGTTTTACTGGTACATAATGCAGTGCGTCTCACGAGCTGTGGTACATAATGCAGTGCGTCTCAAGAGTTGAGATACAGAATGCAGGGCGTCCCACAGAAGCCTCCTAGATATCTTCTCCGTAGACCGCGTATATAATACAGGGCGTCCCACGAGTTGAGGTACATAATGCAGGGCGTCCCACGAGCTGAGGTACATAATGCATGGCGTCCCACGAGCTAAGGTACATAATGCAGGGCGTCCCACGAGCTGAGGTACATAATGCATAGCGTCCCACGAGCTAAGGTACATAATACAGGGCGTCCCACGAGTTGAGGTACATAATGCAGGGCGTCCCAAGAGCTGAGGTAAGTAATGCATGGCGTCCCACGAGCTAAGGTACATAATGCAGGGCGTCCCACGAGCTGAGGTACATAATGCAGGTCGTCCCACGAGTTGAGGTACATAATGCAGGGCGTCCCACGAGCTGAGGTACATAATGCATGGCGTCCCACGAGCTAAGGTACATAATGCAGGGCGTCCCACGAGCTGAGGTACATAATGCAGGGCGTCCCACGAGCTGAGGTACATAATGCAGGGCGTCCCACGAGCTAAGATACATAATACAGGGCGTCCCACGAGTTGAGGTACATAATACAGGGCGTCCCACGAATTGAGGTACATAATGCAGGGCGTCCCACGAGCTGAGGTACATAATGCAGGGCGTCTCACGAGCTAAGGTACATAATACAGGCCGTCCCACGAACTGAGGTACATAATGCATGGTATCCCACGAGCTAAGGTACATAATGCAGGGCGTCCCACGAGTTGAGGTACATACTCTGGGCTATGGAAGTGAATGATGTTCTGTTGCTCATGTAGCAACGGAAAGAAAAAATCTAGGCTACGGGAAGCTGGCTAAACGAGTTTACCTGAACTGTTAAAGTTAGCTGAAGGTACCGTAAGAATGTAGGCCTACGAGGAAACTTACAGTCACCGAAAATGCATGAATTTGTACCCCCTCCTTTACTTTTTTTTTTATAAAATATATTTTTTTTAAATTTTTACAGGTTACGGTCACAAGAAAAAGAAATTACCTGTGTAATCACCAAACATGCACGGTTTTAAACCTCTTCAAAAAATACCCCTGTATAGTGTGAAACTTTATATTTTGCATAAAAAAAAACTCATCATAAAAATTCTCACTATACTTTAGTATATACAGTCATAATCTTCATTATTATATAGGTTGATTGAAAAGTAACTCCCTATTTTATGTATGATGTACTCTCCTGTCTAACTATAATTTTTATAAGATGGGAGAGTTCATCCTTACTTTTCAATCACCCTGGATACAGTCCCGCTTAAATAACAAACAAAATGCCACAAGAAGCCTCCTAGATATCTTCTCCGTAGACCGCGTCAGAAATGACACAGTAAGTGATACCATCAGGCATGAAACAAGCTGATTGAAACACCTCATGACCACTATCAAAAAAAAGAAATTAAAATGGTATGGCCACGTCACAAGAGCCAATGTTGTTTCTATTACCATCCACCAAGATACCACCTTAGGCATAAGAGGAAAACAAGGAAAAATTGGCTGATAATGTCACTGTGGGAACTGGAAGTTCCTTCACAGCGGCTCAGACATTGGGACGTAATCGAGCTATGTGGAGATATCTTGTCAGTGGTTCAACGGCAATACACGGCCAGGGAACAAACAATGATGAATAACGTTCAGGAAATCACGATTTTATTATATCTTAGGAAATGAGTTTAAAAAAATAATCTTGTATAAAAATATGCAGTTGTAAAAAGAATGGTTCATATTCCTTTGTAGTTCAGTTTTTCGTGTGTTTGATTCCTGTAAAAGCATTTGTGAAGCTTAACTTAGTTTGATATAGTCACAAACGTAGAGCATCAAGTAAAAAACCGAACTCGCGTCACAGTAGTTAATTTAGACATGGCAATACGTCCCGGTTTATTCGTTTAACTTTTTCAATATATAAGCAATATCGTGTCTTACTTAAATCTGTAAGTATATAAACGTCTATATAAAAAAAAAAAAAAAAAAAACGATGCATCTTAATAAATAAGATTTTGAAAAATTGGTTCCAATATGAAAATCTTCCAAGCTGGCTTCAGATTATTGATTTCCTCTTGAGAGCACAACCGAAGCCACGCAGATTCTTCAATATCTAATTCTTTGACGCTCTCAGAACCGTTTTCAAAGAAATGTCTGCTCTTTGACCGGAGGAACAAGCTCGAAGGTGAACGTTCAACATTGTTGATTTCCTCTAAGCTAAAATCGTCGGCCCACAAGTACATATCGTCTGCCAAGGCGTCTGACTTCGTCTTCAGGGTTGCCTTTTCCGAAGGCTGCTTGTCCCATTTGGGAGATTTTTTAGTGCGTGATTTCCCCGCGTCTCTAAATGACTTCGAAGCACACTTCAGCAAGCGAGACGAGATTTTCTTGAAAGGCCTTCCCCTCTTTTTAAGAGAGGCACCTTCCATTTCTGATGCGAGCCCATCGTCGTCAATGACGTAACTGGAAAGCAGAACATCCTGTCCACTGATTAATGTCTGAGAAGCTGTTTCTGTTTTTCGCCCATGACCAACTGTGGATTTTTTGTGGGTGTTAGCTAGGCGATGTGGGGCGGACCTATGCTTGCTTTTTGCTGTTGTGCCTGCCGGCTGTTCGTTTGCAGCCTTTTTCGTTGCCTGAGGACAGACGTTTGGAAGGTGAAATGTCTTCTCAAACTGCTTAGTGTTGTGGTATATTTCTGGTGTGATCTCTCGCAGCATTACATAACGCTGATTCTGGCTGTCAGGATTGGAATCCTGAAAACTCGTGCGCCTGCTGGCTAACTTTTGACGTGGGAATTGGTTTCGTTGGCGCGCTGTATTCAGAGGAGTCGGCGGGGATCGTTGATGATGATGGCCCTGCGGACTGGATTGGGAAGATGGGTGTGTTACGGCAATACTGAATGGAACGGTGTAGGAATCATAAAAAGTAGGTTCAATGCTAGGATTCGTAGGTGTGCGGCACGTTTCTGAAAATGTTCTATAGAAATTATTCTGCGGAGTGGTGTCTACTGCGTTATTACTCTTAAAACAGTCTGCGTAATAGCCACCGTATAGATTACTCTGGGAGCCATTTTTAACATTTTCCTGGTTCACGCATGCGTTGTAAGGAGGGGTTTGAATTGAATGACCGTTCGCTGAGTTATGCTGATTTTTGTGGGTATTACTGCAGAGATCTGTTTTAGGAATGTCCTCTTTATATGTAACAGAACTATTGTTTTCCATGGAACTGTTAATACTTCTCTGATCCAGATATATATTATATAGATCCGTTTGTGGTATATTTTCTTGAAATACGTCGTAGTTGTTTTGTAAGGTATTAATTAGGCTACATTGATCTGTGAATGATTTATAGGTATTGGGTTGTTCTCTCTGGTGTTCGCTGAAGAGGTAATAGGGAGGTGTTTGTGAGAAATTGGTAAGGCTATCTTGTTCTGCGTAAGAGTTATAGGGACTGATTTTCATAGAGTTAGTCTGTTCTGTATACACGTTATAAGGACTGGAGAACTCATGAGTGCTGGCCGAATTCCAACATGGATTATAAGGATTGCTTCGTAAAGTGTTGTTGCTTGGAACAGTGTATTTATCGTAAAGGTTGGTTGGCACAACGTGGTTATAGTTGTACCGATCAAAGAACTTGTAGGGGCTGCCCTGAGAGATACTGCGTTTTGTATTTGAAGTAACTCTGCTAGTCTGTAATAAACATGGATCGTCGTAGAACCGGCTTCGTAGAGATCTTTCACGGTACGAGTCGCAATGTTTGTTCGACGAAACGATATCTTCGTACGTGCTAAAGGGGCTGTTTTGTGAAGCATTGTTTGACAACCCTTGGTCCTGTTGGGCGCATGGAATATTGTTGTAAATTTTTCTCTGTAGAGTGTCATTTGATGTAGTTGTGGTTTTACGCAGGCCGGATATTTTCCCTGGGTAGAAATGTGTTTGCGTAGGGTGTTTCGTCAAGGTGTGGTTTTGAAAAGAAAAATCATTTACAGTCGACATTTCGCTGGGCTTTTTTTCTCGAAATAAATTGCTTTCAGTCAAACGTCAGACGTTTTAGCAATCAGGAACGTCATTGGTATCACTCCGTTCTTTTCGTGAAAATACTCGTGGCTTTCTGTACAAGTTACATCCATCGCTGTTGGCTGAGTTGGGAGAAAGGTGTCCAAAAGATAAAATAATAAAGAGTTACGAAAACAATGACAAAATACACATAATAGATTAATCGATCTATCACAATACATAATAAAAGGACATAATACCCAAAGCCACATTAAGCCTCTCCTGTACAAGTCTTATTAATTAACCCATAGCTGGGGGAAGAAGAGTTGGATTCATATCATTCCCAAGGGTATTTGCCCGTAAGTGAATATAACAAACCTGACTGTAATTTCCAATACTCTGTAGGCAGTTTGTTTTTATACAGTAAAGATTTTTTAGTGGCACTTACTAATTAACCCATAGATGGGGGAAGAAGAGGTGGATTCATACCTTTCCTAAGGATATTTGTGCGTTTGAATATAACGAACCTGGTTGAAATTCGAATTCGGCTTTTCGATTAACAATTTCGAACCATTATCCATTGCACCACCCGAACGTCCAAGCTTACAGCACCTGCTTTTCCCAAGCGATCACCCATCTAAGTATTGATCAAGCTCGACATTGCATAACTTCGGTGATCGTATGGGAGCCGGTGTTTAAACGTGATGAGGGGCCGCTTTGTGACATCAACCATTGATTATCATATGTTTCCCAATGTCAAGTCACTTATTTTCAGTCATAATTCATGTGAAAATTTATGCAGTTTTATTTGAATCTATATTATTATTACAGGTGTTATATATAATAAAAAAAGTTAATGGTCAGAGTTGAATTCTAGTAGGAAACAGTAGTATTAAAAAGAAAATCAATTGGCCTTAGGAAAACAAATGACTGTAATCGCCTGAAGATACCGAAAGGTTGAAATCAAGGTAACGGATTCGGTTGGTCTCCTAATTTTATATATATATATATATATATATATATATATATATATATATATATATATATATATATTAGAATGCCACAGCAGCGATGGCCAGACTGGAAAGGATATGGAAGAGCAACATGTAGCTTCCAAATCAAGTTCAAGCTCTACAAATCGCTGGTTGTATCTGTTAGACAGTTTCATGACGGTCGTCTTCGAGTATAGAATCCAGAGGTTGGCAGTGAATATTTCGGAGACAGTAGGAAAGCGTAGTTCAGGTTGGCAGTGGATATCACAGCAGAGTGTAGTTCTTCCTTCTGTCGTGTTCGCCTGACAAGTTGGCTCTGGTCCTTCCGGTAGGGAAAACAAAGATGGCCGCCTTTATACACGACGGATACAATGTTCTGCGGCTTCTGATTGGTTAATCTTCTATTGGTAGACTATAAAGGGAAATAAGTCATTCTGACTCGCTCACTAGTTATATATATTATATATACACAAAAAACCGTAACAGTATCCATGCTCCTCTACGGGTTTGAGTCCTGGACACTCCTAGTTGAGGCAGGAAAAGGGACCCAGGCTCTAGAGAACAAATGCTTGAAAATGTCCGACTGGGAGCAGAAAACCATTGACCGTGTACGGAGCAAGGTCAAAAATCTCGTAGACCGACAGGAATCTCTCCTCACCACGGAAGATGGCATGGTTTGGTCAAGTTACGCAACATCATCATGCAAGGCGGGATCAAGCGGTAACGGTAATGCAAGACCTGGTCAGACAGCATAGAAAAGTGGATGGACATGACAATACCGGAATTCCTGAGAGCCACCACTAACAGATCATCCTGGAGGAAGTTGTTTGTTTCTCCTGCCCTTAGGTCCACACGCCGTCGAGCGAAGCAATCAAGGGACTGGTGATAATGATGATGATGATATATGTATATTTAGGCAGCATATCTTCATTGAAACATGTTTCATTGAATAATATAGACATATTGTGCCTATTTATTTTTTTATACTGATCCTTTCCACTTCTCAATCAGTTTCTTGATGTTAAGATGAAGTTCATCAAGTACTTTCGATCTTTTCCAAGATCATCTTCAGGATTAAATTAGTTCGGTTAAAAAAAAACTACGGTACTTTCCTTGATGAATTTCATCTTAACATTAAAAAACTGATTAGGGAACTGAAAAGGATCAGTATAAACCAAATAGACACATTACATCTATATTATTCAATGAAACATGTTTACACACACACACACACACACACACACACACACACATATATATATATATATACATATACATATATATATATATATATATATATATATATATATATATATATATATATATATATTGAACAATAAGAAAATAAAAGATTAAAAAATTAAAATCATTAGACACACTGGGTTGTAGATTAATATACTTTCGTTTTTTTATTATTATTATTCCATTTAGATTCCTCGACTAGTTTCGACCGAAATGGCCATCATCGGGAGGAGAAATATATCTGCTTGCTGTTGGCAATGAATTACAGAAATGAATGTCTTTTGTTGGAGAAAATGAACTTTTGTCTGTAGTTTTCATTTGTTTTTTTATTTTTTTATCTTTTTCACATGAATCTTTTAACATTCCTTGTGTTGGTCAAACAGTCTCTTTTAAGTTGTTATTTGAGATAAGAACTGGATAGATACATTTTATCCTGAATTCTCTGGTCAGTTTGACAGTTTTATTGGACCTGGTGAGGGGATGTGTCTCTGTTTAGTGTTTGTGTGTGTGTTATTTGGTTCCTAGGGAGTGAGTGAGTATGATATGTGTAAGCGTGTGTGTTATCATTTGGCTCATTAGGGAGTGAGTGAGTATGGTGTGTGTACGTGTGTATAATCGTGTGGGTGAGTGTATAAGTGTGAGGCCTCCATTCCTCCGTAAGCATGTCTGTCTTGTGTGGGTGAGAAATGTGGGTAGGTTTTGATTTGTTGATTGTTACTATTATATGTTGTTAAATTTATGATTTAGCCCGGCTGGGTATTGTGTTTTTAGACGTTGTATCCACTTATTTTCATGGGACTCTAAAATCTTTCTAATGTTATCTGCTCTGAACTCTTCTATTCTCGCAATTATAGTGAATCTGGCATGGGTTTTGAAATCGTGTTTTTCTCGGCGAAAATGTTGTTCTACAGGTAATAACTGTTCATAGGGAGTCGATTTAACTCGCTTACGATAATTATTAATTCTGTAGTTAAAGGGCCATTCAGATTTTCCTACATATTGTTTCTGGCATAGTGTGCATTCTAGGAGGTAAATTATGTTTTGACTTCTACAGTTAGAATCGTGGTAGATTTTGAGCCACGGAAGCAGCCCGGCCTTCGGGCTGGGTTGCGACCATGGCAAAGTCTAGTTTGGACCATATCAGGACTTGCTAAGACAAGCTAAGACCAGAACTTGACTAAGCTTTGACCAGCTTGGACATGTTATGACCAAAACATTGACTAAGCCTTGACCAGCTTGGACATGTTATGACCAATCTTTGACCAGTGACCCTATGCGGAAACGCTCGGGTTTCCCACGAAAAACGACCTTGTGTCACATCTTGACCCCGTGGGAGTTAAGTAAATATATATATATATGAATGTGTGTATGTAAAATAACGTTTAATGTAATGGATATATATATATATATATATATATATATATATATATATATATATAATATGCATGTGGAATATTTAATTTGAAAATAGAAATTTAAGTAGGATTAGCAATTTTCTCATAAACATTGAATAAATCGAACTAACCTTTTTCTCTCAAACCAATTCTTCCTTTCTTTCTCCCCCTTGTGAAAATTCACTTTAACGTATTTTTAAGTTGCGAAACGCCGTTCTAAGAATTCGAACAAGATGTCAATCTAAAATTCTCCTAGCGTAACGTCACATCAAAAACGGACAGCTGAAAAGATATTATCGTACGATATTATCATTTATTTTGCCCGAGAAGGTAATGCCTGCTCTGGATGTCAACCGTTAAATGTTGGTAATTTCCTATTTAAAACCTTTTAAATGCCTCGAGTTGCATGTAAATATTTTACCATCGGGATATTTAATGTGAGAGGACTTATGGCGGAGTAGGGAATGGCTACTCCAGTTACTGCTACGCAGTATCTACTTATTTAAGACGTTGCATACTGAGAAAGACAATATTCGGGAAATGAAAAATTGGACTTGGTCTGAACAGTAACATCGGCAAAAACAAACACCAGCTGATATGTTTAGAGATAGAATGCAAACATTATGGCTACGGATTTGTTGTCAACAGGAAATGCAAGAATAATGTACATCGATGTTAGAAAGTATCAGACCGTGTGTCTGTAATACAGCTCACTGTTAAAAAAAAACAAAAAACATACGAATGTCAACAAGCAAAATGGATCCAGAATGCCCATCTAACAAAGCCATGGATTTTTACTTTGAAAAGGTTGACTTCCAAAAGTTCAGAGGTCACCCTAGTCACAACGCTGAACCGAGACATTCAAAGAACAAGGCTGAAAGATCCCACTTTTCCTTTGGAGAAGTTTACAACCAAGGAAGATCTGTAACGAATCTGTAAACTTGCGGAGGACAGAGAAGACTGGCAAAATATTGTCGAATCAGTATACAATGTTACTGAAGATGAGAGAACGTGTTAATTCATGGCCTCAAATCGAAACATTTTTGATGATGAGGAGGAGGACTTGTGAAAAAGAAAATGAAGAATTATTGTCCCGGGACGTTGATTGTATGTTTTCTCCAAGAAACCAAAATAAAAAAGGGCTTGATATTAATATCCGAGTCAGACAGCAAAGGTTAATAACTTTGGAAAGAGATGGTAAATATTACGGAAATAATTTTTTTAAATCAATATCAAATGGAAGAACATCATCCATAAATAATGGATTGAACGAACAACCATAGTATCGTTGTCGTTGACGGAACTCGTTGCCGAGTATTGGGGTTGCTCATCGACATTTCCTTCTGTGTGGAATGAGTCCTATGTTGGATTTGAATAGATGTCCGCAGCCATCGCATGGTAGGGTATGAGGGTTCAGGGGATGGAGAGCTCTGACTTTTCTTTGGACTCTCTTCATCTCTTCTATTTGTCTTCTGGTGTTTTCGAAGGATGTTGTTTTTTCGTGGACTGCTCTTCTCCAATTGATTCTTTCGGCAGCTTCCTTTTCACAATTGACCGGAACGATTTCTGTCCTCAGCTTGAGCTGATCCGTGAATCGATGACGTGGTCTCGTGTCAGATGCGATTTGTTTGGGTAGGCGGATGTCCGACATGAGGGCAATGTGTCTGGCCCATCGAAGTTGGTGGCGAGACTTGATAGTTTCTAGGACCTCCATTTTCGCCGTCATTTTTCCCGCCAAGCGGCCATCACACACCTACTTACTGGCTACGTGCAATTTGGGGACTAGAGGTTTCCAATTTTCATTTCGGAATGATGGCATTTTGGCCTCTTTTATGTATTTATTTCCTTTTCTTTTTGGTTTTATTTCTTTATGGCAAACCAAAATGGTTTTGTAAACTAGGACATTTTTTTAATTAAAAAATCTTTTGTTTTTATGAATAAAATATATTATGGACTCTATTGCTTTATGAAAAATATTTTCGATAAATAAGGAATTTTTGCAAGAATTGTTTTTTATTTTAAAAAAATTTATCAGAATAATTCATAAACTTAAATCTTTATAAATTCTGCATT